GAACAGTTTTTGAGCGTTTTGAACATATAATTTGCAAAGTGAATCGTATATCTGGAAGTAATCAATTGTTACATTAATGAAAAAAATTTTTAATTATAAATTTAATTAATGACAATTTTGAAGAAAAGCTTTTTAGAATTTTACAACTATTTTTGGTAATAAAATCATTTTGATACCAAAACAAAATAATTTTCTTACTACAATATATTTTTCAGTTATTCCACCTTTTGTTATTTTAACAAAATCGTTATTATACGTGCAAGTATGAAAAAAAGTTTGGAAAATCTAAAAGTGCACGCCTCATAATCCCATTTTTCAAAATAAAATTAAAATAAAAAAAAAACGCTTCACTTAGGAGGCGTGCAATAAACATTCAATAATTCCTTCATTGAATTTTACTTAAAATTTACTTAGTTTTGAAAAAATTATTTGATGAGTCAAGAGAAGTAGATAATAAATACCTGAAAAGTTGCATGATCAATCACCATTTTGAAGATGGTCTTTTTATGGCTATTTGGGTCTAAATCACTTTTAATTATTTCGAGATCTTCAATCAACTCATCATTGTCGTCCAATGGCGCAATATGTTTTGCGACAATATCGTAACCATATTGCTCGGCATTGTCTTTTATCCGAGAAAATTTTTTTGTGAATTTGTTATTAATAAGAAGAAGTCTATCAAGAAAATCTTTCATGGGTTGTCGGTCAAATTCCGTCGCTAATGCATATAATATTTCAACTTTCTCTGAGGCTACGGCTGCTTTCAAGTCCAAAATTTGACCACCTAAATTATCAATTTTTCTCAAAATATCACCGAGCTTACGCGTCACATTCCCTTTGAATTCTTCGTCGGATTTATCAGCTTTTACATATTTTACAATCCCATCCAAACCGAGCACCAGTGTTGTAAGGTCGTTTATTACGCTTACTACTTTTCGTCCTTCTGCGAGCGGATTGAATTTGATGAGAGCTCTAGCTGCTCTAGAATTAGGTTCAACATCTTCGATAAGTGATGAAAGAATTATTAAAAACGTCAATGGAATAACGAGTCTTAATTTTACTCTCATTTTCAACGATGATCCCAAACAATTGAGCTTAAATAATAAATTTTTTCAATTAATTTGATTAAAATATTTTCACCCAGAGTATTAATAAATATTTTTGTAAAAAACTATACTTACTATAAAATTCGGCGACACACTGAAGTAAATTTGTCACCAATAACTCCATTTTCAATAAATCTAGCTATATATACTCGAATAAAAATAAAAAATAACCCTGATAAGTATTTGAACAGTTTTTCTTGTCACAAAATAATTGATTATGTAAATAAATTACTTACCTGCTATTTTTTCCATTAATTTTGCTTCTTTAGAATTTGGAAAATATTTAACTATTAAATCATGATAGTAAATCATAATAAATAATAGTTACTGATTTGTACTTATAGAATACGTCGATATAGTCATTGATTACTTTTCCGTAAACACGCACATGGTTACTGTTTATTTATATGTATGCCTATCAATCAATAGATTGATAAATTGTCGATTACATAACTCGCCGGTTAATCGTTTCTAAAAATTTGATATAAATATCGAAGATTTGATATTAAATATAAATAAGTAGATAGTGAAATATTTATACAGCCATGAAGCTTCAGTATCTTGCGGCTGTCTAAAAATATATAAAACAAACATGTTTAGTTTAGATAATTTTCAATGAAATTAATAAATAAATAAATATAACAAATGTGTAAAATTTAATTTTTCTTCAATAATTTATATTTTTGATGTAAAAACAAATTTCTTTATTAAAAAAAAAAATCAGTCAAAAAATAAATATTTTTTTTTTGAACACATTATGAGCCGTGCTTGACGTTGATTTTTGATAAAAAAAATCCGAGATTTTTGTTTGTAAATCAATAAAACAATTAAGAACATTATTTTCAAAAATTTGATCAAATAAAAAATTCTTAAAGCAAGTAAAATTTACTTCACATAAAAAAGAAAAATGCAAAAATTACATTATAAATAGTAATAAGCGTCACTTTGTATAAAAAACTAGAAAAATTGCAGTTTGAAATAACATTTTTATAAATTCAAACTTTATATCAATCTAAATATTACATTTTACAATATAGTTTTTGTGAAATCTGTAATAATTACAATTTTATACTGTAATTTTTCAAGTTTTTTATGTGAAGCGCCACGTTACATTATATAATGTAATTTTTTCCTTTTTTTTTTTTTCAGTATTAAATCAAAAATAATTTCTTAAATCACGAATATTTCCACTCGATTAAAATATATCAAATTCTTTAGAAAATATTTTTTTTTTTAATGAATTAATTTTTCTTTTTTGTACTTAATTTTTTTTAAAGAAATAAACCACCTAAAATTAGACATTTTATTTATCGTTATTTTTTCTAAAATGTCTTACAGCACTTTATGAGATATAAAAGAGTGACAGCGATTAAAAAATATTTTAAGCGTAAGACTGGGATTAAGTTTAAAAGCGGAAAAAAAATGAAAGTAATTTTTCTAAGCAAAAATTTTTTAGAGCCCGAGTTTGTCTTACTTAGCGTAATTTGCAAGTATAATACGTGTAGAATGATAAAAAAAAAAGCCATTGGATATGGTTCGCCCGCGGCAATCACGTAGAACCGTTGAAATAAATTATCAGGAACCTTTGGCACATTGATCTCAATGATAATAGTGATAATAATGCCCCTGATAATGGTTTCGTGTCATCTGAGGCATCATTATGATACTCGTACACCGTACCGTTGTAAGTTGACGATCGTCGGTAAAAAATAGTTGTAATAAAGCAAAAAGGGCGTTATTTATTCGGAGCATCAGTAACATAAAAAAAGTAAGGTCGTGGCTCATTTGAATTGTGCTAAATCCTCGGAGTAAAGGAAGAGCTTGAAATCTGTGTAGGTAAAACGGATGAGTCGTAAGCCAAACATACAAGCGGAGGTTTGCATCTCTCCCCCAGAGAGCCTGAGAGACAGTAGAGAGCAAGGAAGTTCGCGTCGTTCATAAATCACGGCGATATTTTCACGAGCACCACGGGAATAAGATTGACCAGGTCGGTATGTGCTGGCACACACGCGATTTATGACCTGATAGGATCCGTCACATCGTCTCGGTGATACTGTACCGCAAACCGTGACTTTCTCTGCAGCTACCGGCGGTGGTTCATTGCTTTTCGGTCGCCGGAGGAGGAGAATAAGCTCTACTGAAAAAGACCACCAGCTTTATAACCCGTCTTACATTAGATTGTCGTTTTACGTTAGACGTTACTAAACTTTTAAGATTTATATTGTTCTATCAAAATTCAGTCCAAGTTTTTTCCTCCCTCATTCATTTTATTATTTTTCTTTTCGTAAAGATTTTTTTTTCGACATCATATTATTGAGGTATAAGTTAACCACCCCCTAAATCGAGGAGTACCTTACTATTTTTATGCTCTTAAAATATCACCGTTCATTTGAGCTTAAAGTATTTTCATTTTGACAGAAAATAATACCTAAAGTTTCTTCTTCTTTTTTATAATACGGAAACTATTAAATAATGTTTTATACAATGGTAAATTTCTAGTTGTGATGATCTAAAATGATTTTTTAATAATCTATATTGTTAAGAGAATAAGAAAAATTTTATTTCCAGGATAGTTATATAGTAAAGTTGAATTTTTTAGTGAAATTTAGTGTCATTGCAAAGGTCTTAATTTGAATTTGTGCCTTTTCAAGGTTTCATTCTCTAGACACATAATTAAGAAATTACCTTGTATCTTGTGAAATATTGACATTTTTAAAAATATAAGCTCATCCCGATGTTATACTCATCAAGACCTTTCATTTGAGTACCCACATCAATTTTTCATATCTTTATATATATATATATATATATATATATGTTGGTACTCTAATGAAAGCTCTTGATAAGTGTAACATCAAGATGAGTTTATAATCTTAAAAAATGACAGTAATTAAAAAATGACCTTGTATCTTGTGAGCTATTGACATTTTCAAAGATATAAGCTCATCCCGATGTTATACTCATCGAGACCTTTCATTCAAGTACCCATATCAATTTTTCATATATTTATATACATTATGTATATGTATATATGAAAAATATATAAAATTGCATGTGGGTACTCAAATGAAAGCTCTTGATGAGTGAATCATCGGGATGAGCTTGTATCTTTAAAAATGTTAATATTTAAGAAAGTACAGTGCAATTTAACAAAATTTTATTTATTTATAGTTCACAAGTCACGGCACTCATATAGTGACTGCAAGATTGCTAATATTAATTAATAAAATTTTTTAAAAATATTGATTGATTAAATTGTTGATAATAAACATTTTGACTTGGGCTTTTATTTTGGTTAAAAAATTTATATAATAACTTGACACTAATCTTTAAAATTTATTGACAATTATCTTCTGAATCTTTTAAGCCACAATCGATTCTGATAATTAAGTAATCGATATCAAACCAAAGATTTCATAATACATTTTTAGCAACAGAATAATCAATTTAAGTTAAAAACATCGTTTCACATAAATGAATAATAATTTTATTAATACATTCGAAAACAGATTTATATTTATGCTCTCAAAAATAATAATGCATGATGTTTTCAATAATGTGAATACAATTCAGATGATAAAATTTAAATTAATTGATCTCGAGTTTATAGCCACATGAATAAACAATCCTGCCGAGTATATAATTGGCACTTACAACGAGCGGCAATGAAATTACATAATGATACACTCGGTCCCTGCAAGTATGCTGTAACCACGCATGCATTTATATCAAAGACTTACTCAGCATCAATCAGTATCAATCTGAACATGCCTCAGAAGCGTGCATAATTATTCTGAAAAAAAAAAAAAAAAGCATTCTAGTCGCGTCAAGTGTTTTATTCTTTAAATATTATTGTAATTATCTTACAGCGACCGTAATTCGAAAGATAAAAAAATGGATAGATGGAGAGGTAAAATAGCCGTGGTAACTGGTGCATGCTCGGGAATCGGTCGCGCCATTACAGTCTCATTATTGTGCAACGAAATAAATGTAATCGGCTTGGATATTAATGGTAAAGAGTTTCCGAAGATAAAAGAAAGCGTTTCGAGTGCTTCTTCTAAAGCTGGCGCTTTTCACGGGATTCAATGTGATGTTTCAAGGGATAAAGACATAAGTGATGCTTTTGAAGTTGTTGATAAACAATTTTCAGGCGTTGATATTATGATCAACTGCGCTGGAGTCATTGATTACAGAACTATATATGGTATCTTAAGTTTTATCATTACAGTACAATAAAAAAATAGTATTTTTTCTCAAGGAATATAAAATACACAGTAAAAAATTTTACGTCAAAAAATTTTGTGTTAAATATTTAACATTTTTTTCGTGTTCATTTAATAGAATAATTGTTAAATTTACACATAAAAGTGTTAAATATTTAACCCAAAAATTTTTAACATCAAGTTTTTTAACGCAATGACGCAAAATGAAACAAAAATTCTTACAATAAAAATACAAAATTAATCAAAAGCTATTGTACCTAAGTGTACAATCTATTTTGTAACTAAACAAGTATTTACAAAAATTTTAAAAATTATATATTATACATGAAATGTAAAATTAGGTGACCTCGTTATTGGCCTTTGGCTGTTGGGTCTTTTCTAAAAAAATAAATAAATAGAAATGGAAAACTCCAAAAATTTCTTTAAAAATTTTTTTTCCTAATTTTTTCTCTCTAAAAATATTAAAATATATAGTTCGTCAATTTTCACGACTTAAAAGACAAAAAATGTTTCTTTGTTTTCAAAATATATAAAAAAAAATTTTTTTTTCTAAAATTTTTCTCAACTTAATTTTTATTTTAATTTTATTTGAACTAAGGTTTTTTTTTTTATTTTTTTAGGAAGCTTGAAAAAAACATTTTTTTTTAGCAAATTTTAAAAGCTTTTGAAACTGTTCAATTAGGGGTACACCGGCTTCTAAAAATTTCTTAAAACTTCTTCATCCATATGAGCTAAAAATTTGTAATCCAAAACCTTAGACGTCTCTCTTTTTTTTAAGTTTTTCAAATCAGTATTATAACTCTTAAAAAATTAACATAATCTTTTTTTGTCAATATAAAATTATTTGATGATGTAATTTTTACATAAATTCCTGCCTTTAAATTTAATAATTTCTTTTTGAATGTGACATTATTAAAAAATGTGAGTTTTACGTGTAATTTTGACAGATAATTAGTAGATTTTATAAAAATCGAACTATTGTATTTGTCCTCATGACGTAAATTTCTATAAATTTTGCTATATTTTGACCTAACTCGACGAACTGAGTCAGAAAATACATATATTTGTTAAAAATGCTAGCCGTAAGATGGACTGTTACGTGAAGCTCATTAGATTGGACGGATCATCTATATATATATATATACGATATGCCTGCTTGTCACGACGATAGCGTCAATAATTCTTAAGGGATCTTAATGAAACTCAACATACTTATTCTATCGACTATTAGGAAGGTCAAGTTCAAATATGAGCTTAATCGGTCATATAGTTTAGAAATTACACCAGTTCAAAATTTTGAAATTTTAAAAATTTGATACTTTCACTACTTTTCCTTCAAATAACTTTTGAACGCGTCGAGTTATTCAATTTCTGTAAAATGCATTTGAAAGCTGAGAATTTAAGCTTCAATTTATGTGCTCAAATTTTTTTTCTGAAGCAAAAAAAATTCATCTTAGGATCATTTTTAAGAAATTTTACTCTTGCAGTCGTTTTGTCTCTACAAAACTGACTGAAAAGTACTGAAGTACAATAATTCTTCTCTTTCTTCATTAAACGTTATTTTTTTTTGTTTTTAATCCTAGTAGTTTTTAATTTTATTCATCATGAAATCTACTTCCATTTCGACTGCCGAATGGCCTTTTTTTTTTGTTGTAATTATTACTTAATTTACTTTCTTTAAATTTGATATTTTAGTAAATGTCAAGATATAATTTTTTCCAGATGCTGACAGAGAAAGCTTCGAAAGACTATTAAATATCAATGTCCTGGCTGTTGCTACGTGCATAAGAGCCGCCATTAAATCGATGCGAGACAGAGGAGTTCAAGGACACATTATTAATATCAACAGGTTAAATCCAACTTCTGTTCATAACATATTGATAAAAATAATCAAACAAATTTAAGACGTCCCGAGTCGAAAAATTTAAACTGATTTCAAGCTAAATGATCTAAATTTGAACTTATTGATCTGTATTTGAACTTTAAAAAACATTTTTATCGGTATTTCATCTACTATTTAAATTATTTTTGATCTGTTTTAAGTCTAAATAACCTTTTAGTAAAATAATTGAGCAACTATGAATATTTTATGCTGTTTCTAATCTAATGAAACTAAAAAGTTTTAAAAGTTTGATCGGTTTTTAGTCTAGTTAATTTGTAGATGGACTTTATCTATTGTTTTCAAATTCAATATGAAATCTTATACTGTTTTTGACCTAGAACCTTGGAGTGAATAAAAAAGAGCGGGAAGATAAAAATAATGAATCGAGAGTTGTTTTGAAGTTTAGTAATCCTGAGTATATACACATAACAAGGATCTGTTGTGCTGGCGCCATTCGTTGCGGACACGACCAACCCACAAGCCCTCTTTACCCTCTTTACTCTCTCGTTACATTAGTTATTCCTAGAGTGTATATTTATATATAAATATATATATATAAATGTATAAAGTATCAAATGCATACATACACACATACACAAACAGAGCTAGCGTAAAAGTAGCGCAAAGGAACCAGCGAGGAGTTCACTATTGCACTGTAATACTGGCAGTGTAGCGGAATCCTGTTGGACCGGATGGAAACGGAAGTGACGCATTTACTTGGAAGCTCGTAGAACTTTCACGATTTGTAAAGGGCTTTGTATACCAGAGAAATATATGTACATGTTACGGTCGCGATGTATAGAAAATAAAAAAAAAAATATATTTATCTATATAAAAACCGACTGTTATAAATTATCGACACTCGTGCCGCTCGATTTAACTTCCGAGGCTTTCCAGAAAAATTTATCTGCAAAAACTACCACTCCAATCACTAAAAACGTCTTTGCATTACGTTTTTTGTACTTACTAGGTCCGGATAAAAATTCGCAACCTCTTAATTGTTTTATTGACAATTTTTCAGTTAGGGAAATTGTTTTCTTTTTTTTTATTTTACTTACTGAATAAATTATTAAATTTATTTTTCAGACGGCGGAGTAACTCCAATCATGACGATGGACGTGAGTAAATCGGAAACGAACAAAAACGGCTCGGCGCAGCAGGAGATATGCGCGGGATGTCACAAAACCATAACAGAAAGGTTAATTTTTTTTATTTGACAATTAATCCGATATATTACATTGTAAAAAATCTGAAAAGTGAATTTTTTTATTAAATAAAAATAAAAAATTAATTATTCATTTAAAAATTCATATTTAGCGATTGGAAAAATTTATTAAAATTTTTTTTTGAATCATGGCATCAATTTGTTTTTCAATTTTTACAAACAGTAGTTGTTAAAAAATTCTCTCTAAAATAATTTATTTATTAAGAAATATTAAATCAATAATGATAATTATAATTGGTTATGATTCTTGTGATTTAGGTTCCTCCTGAAAGCCTTGGACCTACTGTGGCATGAAGACTGTCTGAAGTGCAGTTGCTGTGATTGCCGATTAGGCGAAGTAGGATCAACATTATATACAAGAGCCAATCTGTTACTTTGCAAAAGGGATTACCTGAGGATATTCGGCCACGAGGGGCATTGTTCGGCTTGTTCCAAATCAATACCGCCCTTCGAGATGGTAATGAGAGCTCGGACGAACGTTTACCACTTGGAGTGCTTTGCGTGCCAGCAGTGTAATCATCGGTAAGAAAATTTATTATTTATCCATTTTTTTTACAAAATTAAAAAGTTAATTATCAATTTTATAAAATAATTAAAAGGTAAAAATTCAGGTCAAAACCTTTTCAATTGACACTAAGACAATAAGACATCAAATATCAATGAACAGGATATCCAGGACGTCTCTCAATCTTAAATTTTATTTTCTGCTCCTTCTACCGTCACTCATTTCCGGCTTCATCCCTTCCAGGTTTAGTTACACCTCCCCTCTTTCTCTATAAACTGTAAACTATGCGACAGTAGTTTCGCACCGATACTCTACACAGACAATGAGACATAAGCATTCACGATGAGAGTCTACTCCTCCAGGGGTTGGTTTACAAGCCAATTGGGAAATCATCCCTCTCGCTTTATTTTTTTTCGATCCATTTCAAGTAAGGACTTTCTCATCAGCCTACTTACACTCCGTACTACATTTTTATTTCTTCGTTCTTCTGCTGTATTATATATAATTATTCCTCGCGTGACAGTTTTATGTCCAATATATTTGTCCCTCCGGCTTTAACATTTGTTTATTAACAGGTGAGTTTTACTGTTTTTTTTTATTGCCGGCTATTGTCAATCTCGTTTTTTATGTATTCAAAAGTCACGTTTCCCGTGTGAAATAGATACCATGGATCCATTTGATTTCCCTCAGGTAATTCTCTGATATTCCAAAGTTATTTTCTCTAATAAATGTGGTAATTTTTGAGAATGCTTAGATTAGATCATTGTTCTTTAACAATTTTTATTTTTATCTCATAATTTTGATTTTATAATTACAATTTTATGATCTAATAAAATTTGAGACCCTTGTAAATAATTTTTAATGCTTTAAAAACCCCGTATAGATTTTTTAAAATTTTAGTTCCTAAAATTTCCGACAGGTGGCGTATGATCGCTAAATATTCTCACTACCAGAGAGTTAATTTTTAGAAAATAAGTAATAAAACAAAAATCACCTTCTTGACTCTTTTAAAGAGTTTATTTGACATTTTGTAGGAGTTTAATTAATTTTTATTAAATAAAATAATTTTTTTGACTTAAATATTGCTAAAAAAATGAAAAATTATCTTTTTATTCTCATATTTAATTTGATATAACCGGCTTTATATTAAAAATTTTTTAAGTCACTGTGATGATTATTATCACCAAATAATAATCTAGTTTAGAAGATTTTTCCTTTACAAAACTATCTATAAGTTTAGATGTATTAGTATATTGCAGCTTCACGAACAGTAAAACGTTCCTAATGGGGTCGCACATTGGCACTCGAGGATTTCGATTATTTATTCATCAAGCCCTACTCGACAACTCTATCCGTCCTGTCCGTGCGTCGTTTGGTGACCGCGGAAGTTCTCCTTCTCACTTGCTCTCTGGTAGAGTAACACGGGGACCCTCGTTAAAGATTCACCAGAGTTATCTGAGCGCCCAGATTGAAATTTTCCATGCACAGACTCGTCGAGTGTCTGTACTTTGCTCTCTGCACTCTACCAGACACTCTGTGTATAGGTTAGAAGAGAAAGAGGAAGAGAGAAATAAACAACTACAGGAAGGACAGACTGAGATTACTTTATGCTATTTCCTGTACTGATATTAATATTTTAACACGGGCTGTCAGTCTGTCGCCGTCGATTTAACTGGTTATCTACTTTTTCTTTGAGATGTTATTATTATTTATACACTTTACACTTTTTATGCTTCTTATCGATTATAGATTAGCTATTATAAAATTCTGAAAAAAAATACAAGGACTAATTTATTTTTATAATAAGCTTATGGATTAATTTGAAAATTTTTTGGCTAGAATATCGTTTTTTTTAGCTTCAAAAATTCTAGATTTGAAGATGAACAATACATTGAAGATGAACAATACATTATCTTATAAATATATAACAATAAAATTTGAAAAATTATCTATTGTCAAAAAAAAATAATTAATGGAATCTAACATGAATTTTGTCTTTTATTTTTTTTAATTATTAACTAAAATTTTAGGAGAAGTTTATTAAAAGTAATTTTTCAATTTAATTCCATGAAAACTTAAAACTAGACAGAGAGTCAAATTTTTTTTTTAATAGACGATAATTATTAATTTTTTTATTTACTTCAAAAACAAAAATTATTTGATAGAAGAACAAAATTTTTTTTCTTAAAACTCATTTTTTTCGACAAGAGAAATTAGAAATCAAGAAATTTGTTTTCTATAAAAATTTTATTTTTTTTATTTAACAGCAAATTTTGTAATTAAAACTAGCAATCTTGCAGTCACCATGTGACTGCTGTGACTTGTGAACTATAAATAAATACAATTTTGGTTTATTAAATAATGACTTTTGTTAAATTGCACTGTACTTTCTTAACTATTGGCATTTTTAAAGATATAAGCTCATCCTGATGTTACACTCATCAAGAGCTTTCATTTGAGTACCCACATGCATTTTGATATATATTTCACATATACATATATATATTTATATAATATATATAAATATATAAAATATATGAAAAATTGATGTGGGTATTCAAATGAAAGCTCTTGATGAGTGTAATGTCGGAGTGAGCTTATATCTTTAAAAATGTCAATAGTTCACGAGATACAAGGTCATTTCTTAACTATGTATCTAGAGATAGACTAATAAATTAAAATGTTTTCAATTAGTATGAATGAATTTATAGAATCTTTAAAGTGAAGAAAAACCAAATTAAATTGTAGCTATTCCTCAATTCTAATCAATTCTTATTAACAATAAAATATTCCAGGTGCGTTCTAATTCCGAGATCACGTTTCCGCCAAAAAAGCATCCATATACATGTCTTGTTCTTGTTCTGTATCCCCATAAGCCGTTTGACCCCCGCTGAATCGCTCCCGGTGCGAATTGGATTAACACGATACGTTTTCCGGCATTGCTGTCTTTGCTATCTCTGCATTGCTATATCCTTTCCCTTCGTACTTCCTATCCTGGTGTCTTATATATGCCTTATATCGGTGACTGTTCAGAGGGTCGAGGGTAGAGGGTAGTTTAGATATCTACAACTGTAGCGCAGTGACAGAAATACTAAACAGACAAGAAGATCTCGACAACAAAAAACGAAATAACTAAAATACTTTTCGATGTTAAGTTTTCAGTTGTTGGTAGTTGGTTGTTGCTCTCAAAATTCACTACAGCCGAAGAACTTGCAACACACTACACGATTTCTGGTAATTTAAGTTTTACTACCTTTTATCCGGGGATTTTACCCAAATCCTTGTGTGGGAGTAGCAACGCGTGCAATGGCTCGTTTAGTCTATTTGTTGAAATTATACATCTATAATATTATTATTATTATTATTATTATTATTAGTTTTAAATAATTTCAACTTCATAATAATTGTAATCTATATTATTAACAAAATAAGCAAAAATTGAGGCTGCATTCGAAAATGCTCTATCTCTAGATACATAATTAAGAAATGACCTTGTATCTTGTGAACTAATGACATTTTTAAAGATATAAGCTCATTCCGATGGTACACTCATCGAGACCTTTCATTTGAGCACCCACATCAATTTTTCATATATTTTATATATTATATATATTATATATATGAAAAATATATAAAAATGCATGTGGGTACTCAAATGAAAGCTCTTGATGAGTATAACGTCGGAATGAGCTTATATCTTTAACAATGTCAGTAATTAAGAACTGACATTGTTGTCTTGTCAATTAATGATATTTTTGAAAATATAAGCTCACCTTGACATTACATTCATCAAGACCTTTCATTTGAGTATCTACATCAATTTTCATATATTTTATATATTTATATATTTATATATATTATACATATGTATATATGAAAAATATATCAAAAATGCATGTGGGTACTCAAATGAAAACTCTTGATGAGTGTAACATCAGGATGAGCTTATATCTTAAAAAACGTCAATATTTAATAAAGTACAGTGCAATTTAACAAAATTCATTATTTAATAAAGTAAAATTCATTAATTTAATAATAATAATGGTTGCAAAGTAGAATAGTATGAATCACGGTTTGTACTACACGCAAAAGCCATACTCTGTATAGTGAAGTGGTAAAGAGGATAAGAGTTCGTTAACGGAACTAGTACTAGTGTAAGTGTTAGTGCAAACACAACCTGACTGAAACTCTGTACTCTATTCTGTGATATTGTCAGTGTATATGAGCAATGTATATGCAGCAATGCAGTGTCAGACTTTAAGTAGATTGTGGGTTTTTTTATGAGCAAAAGCAACGAAAAAGCTCGTGTACTTTTACCCAAATTAAACGTGATCTATCGTCCCTGATTCAATTACCTAATTATTTGATATTTGAAGAGGGTTTTTAGTTTGTGTATGTGATTTATACAACTGAAATTTTTTATTAAATACTTTAAATAAATTGTGACATTTTAGAGTTTTATTAATTTTTCGATCCTTATAAATTTAATTAAAGTACAGACAGTGTTTGTTGTATTATTAATTAATTGTAAATTATTCTCGAGTTCGGAGAGAAACAATAAAAATAACTATTTTATCCGGGGTCAGAAATAGTGACCAAATACAAAAGAATAAATAAATTCATAAAAGCGGAATAACAGAAGTGTAGTTTTAATTTATTAGTTAGTAAGTTAGAAAATAGAGAAAAATAAATTTACTAATTTTTTATGAATATTCATAACATACTTTAAAATTTAAATAACAATAAAAAAATGTACAATAAATATGGTACTAATAATTTAATTCAGAATTATAAAATTCAGCTAGTGAATTAAAGCAAGTAGTAATGTTTTTTACAGATCAGACCTGGAGTAAGAGTGTATATATAGATTTGAACATTATTTTTTTCTCTTTATTTTATGTAACTTACATATAAGGCGGATAGGAATAAAGTAATCGCCACGACGACGAACGATCCCAGCACCAGGAGCCAGAAAACGAGCTTTTTATTTCTCAGCGGCATTTACAGCAGCCTTGCATCCG